GGGGCTGGGGGGAAAGATTGTGGTTTTGATTTGAACTACTCTAATAATGGCGATGTTCAGCATCTTTTCTATGTGCTTTTTGCAGCCATTATTATCTTTTATGTAAGAAAAAATTATTACCTGGCCTAAATTTGGGTTGTCTTTATTTGCTGGTAAATTATTTTATATTCTGGATGCCCTAACATACAGGGTTTTCCTTTTGAGGTGATGAAAATGTTTTAGAATTAGGTGGTGGTGATGGTTGCAGAACATGATGAATGTATTAATTGCCATACAGTTTTTTACTTTAAAATGGTTAATTTTATGTTATGAGAATTTACCTCAAGAAAATAGATGTCTTGAAGAGACAGTAGGATATGATCTGAAATTCAGAGACTGCAGACTGAAGTGTAAATATAGGTGTTCTCAGTTGATAGGGTATTTAAAGCCATGGTACGGGTTAAGGTTATCTAAGGAGTGAGCAAAGAGTGGATCTGAGAGTTGAGTTGTGGGGGCATTCCCAGTGTTTTAAGTTCTGAGACATGGGAAAGAACTCACTCAGTAGAGTGAGGAGTAGCTGTTGGGTTCCATGGGAACAGAGGAGAGGAGCATCTTAGTCTGACTTGGCCTTGCCCCATTATGCATTATCTTCCTTTTTCCCAAATTTTAGTCCAAAGACATTCTTACAGATTTATTTCACTTCCATAATGAGGCACCTAGTCAGTTCGGGACCACAGGTCATTTGTGTTAATATGTTGTGAATCACTGTTTTTTACTATACTCCTTAAAGGGAAATATGGTCTATAAAAGGGGTCTAATTTCAGTTGAAAAGAAGTTTTTAGATCTAGTGAAATCTCACATGAAATACTGGGAATTTTCTCAATAATAGTGACTTTTAGTCATTTTTAGGGTTATTATCCTTTTGAGAATCTAACATAAGGACTCTTACCTGAAAAAACAAAACAAACATAGACACAATTTAGCATTTCAAAGACAAGGTGTTTATGGACCTTTATAGGCCCTGTGCGTTCTGACAGATAGGCATCTGCCCTGGCTAAAAACACCTCTAATGACAGTCCTCCCTTTTGTGAGAAGACACCTGATGATCCTGGACAACTTTGGCTGTTGTTTCTTCCCTGTATTGAGTGGACATCTGCCTCCTGTAATTGAGGCATAGGAGGTCTAGGGTTTTGGGTTTTTGTTTTTTTTTTTTTTTGAGACGGAGTCTTGCTCTGTCGCCCAGGCTCAGATGCGGTGGCACGATCTCGGCTCACTACAGCTCCGCCTCTAGGGTTCGCCATTCTCACTGCCTCAGCTCCCAAGTAGCTGGGACTACAGGCGCCCGCCACTACGCCCGGCTAATTTTTGTATTTTTTGTAGAGATGGGGGTTTCACGTGTTAGCCAGGATGTCTCGATCTCCTGACCTCGTGATCCGCCCATCTCTCGGCCTCACAAAGTGCTGGGATTACAGGCGTGAGCCACCGCGCCCGGCAAGAGATCTAGTTTTGTCCCCAGGATCACGCTAAGTCTGTGCCCTTTTCAGTGTTAGACTCCTTTGAATGCTTCAGAATCCAAATCATGAATTTCTTTTAAAAGATGTTTATTGAGATACAATTCACATATAGTTCACCCATGTAAAGTGTACGACTTGGGGTATGTACATTAATTTTTAAAATTTTGGTAAAATACATGCAACAAAATTTGCTATTTTAATCTTTAAATGTGCAATTCAGTGGCATTAATTACATTCACAGTGTTGTGCAGTCTTCTCCACTATTTCCAAAACTTTTTCATTATCCCAAACAAAAACTGTAACCATTAGGCAATAACCTCATTCCCTGCCTTCAGCCTTTGGTAACCTCAAATCCACTTTCAGTCTTTATAATTGCCTGTTGTCTGGTTCCTCCTATAGGTAGAATCATACAATATTTCTCCTTTTATGTCTGGCTTAACGTAATATGTTCAAAGTCTTTTTATCCAAATGAGACCTCCTTGTACTACATGATTTCAAGTTCTACTGTATTTGATAGTTTCCTTTTCACTGTGCCCAGAGTTATTATAACAAAGTAGTTTCCCATAGGTGTTACTGAATTAATAACAGTGTTTTTAGGGTTATTAGTTCTAAACCCCACCCACACCTTTTCTTCCGTAAACAGGTTGTAGGGAAGGTTGATAAAAGGTAACATTGCCAATCTAGTCTTCAAATGCTAGCATTGTTAACTAACAGTAAAGATGAATATATTTAATGCTATTAAAACAGTACATTTCTCAGTCATCAGTTATAAATCCCATGCATGCTTTTTTAAAAACAGCTATTTGAAATAATTTAAACTTCAAGGTGTAATTAATAAAGTGTATGGTGTGGAATTTACATACCATAATAGTTCTTACTGTTTTAGAAAAGTGGCGATGTATGCTTCTTTTTTTAAAAAGTGAAATAATCAATCAGCTTAGGTCAGTGACAGGGTTTAGTAAAAACAAACAAACAAAAAACAACTGCCTAAATCTTGATTGCTCCAGCAGTTGGCTTGCCTAATGCCAAGGCTTGCCACTTTGAGGCAGCTCACAGTGGAGCTCTTCCTAAACCAGGAGAAGGTGCAGGTAGAGCTAATGAATTGCTTTGATTAGAGTGAGTTGGGCGTTGAAGCTCTCTTCTTCCTCTCAGGCAGCTATTTACTCACCCAAGATGGGTGAGGGGCTTCCCAAAAGGTTCTTCTGGCAGTTTAATCAAGGCTGATTGAGAGTTGATGCTGCTCTACTTTGTGAAATGTAAAATCAGTGGTTTTCTGGGGACTCAGGAGGGTGCCTATTTGGGCTGCTCCACAGCAAAATACCTTAGACTGGGTGATTTTAAACAGCAGAAATTTGTTTCATATAGTTCTGGAAGCTGGGAAGTCCAAGATGAAGTCATCAGCAGATTTGGCATCTGGTGAGGGCTCACTCTCGGCTTCTTAGATGGTACCTTCTTGTTGTGTTCTCACATGGTGGAAGGGCAAATGGGCTTCCCCTTCATGACCTAGAATCACCTCCCAGATGTGCCACCTCCCAACACCACTGCACTGGGGATTGTTTCAATATGAATTTTGAGGGGATGCAGACATTTAGACCATAGCAGCCCCCAAGACCCTTTCAGAAGTCCACAATGTCAAAACTATTTTCATAATAACACTGATATTGTTTCTGTTTTCATATTCAGGTCTCTCAGGAGTGGACAGTGGAATATTTGGAGTGCTACATAACATGTTGGCATCATTACTTTGATAAATTGTGTATTGTGTCTTCTAGAATTTTCTAAATATGATTATTCAGATCTGGGTGTTTGATAGACATTTTCTCAGAAATAAACAAGCCTGCCACTTCCAAGAACAACTGATAATTTGAGCATTCAAGTTGAAATTAGAATTTTGGAAAATTTATTGCCACTGTGAGCTTGGCAGCTCTCTAATACTTGAAGACTCTTCTGATGAGATCACTGATATTGATGTGGGTTTTTCTATATATTGTATAATTAATTGCGTTAACATTTATATGGTATGTATAACTCACCAATTTAATATTTTCCAAATGACCAATTTATGGTTTACAGAGACATACATGGATAAAAGATCTATTTGAGTGCAAGATAGACTATGGGATTTTTTTATGTACTAGGGCATGAAAAAGCTCATGCGGTCTGGTCTCAATTTCACATTTCAACTAATCTTGAAGAAACTACCACTTGTGGAGAATTCACAATTACATGGAAAAAAGAGGAGTATTGTAATAACCTTTTTAACTGCATATCATAATGAGGCTAGATTTTCTTCATATATTTCAACCAAAACAGCATATAGCAATAGATTAAATACAGAAGCAGATGTGAGAATCTAGCTGTGTTCTGTTAAGCTGGACGGAAGAGATTTGCAAAAATGAAGCAGTGTAATTTTTCTCACTAGATGTTTTGTTTTGAAACGTAATTTTTATTAAAGCATTATTTATGTTAACATTAGGTTGATATTTTTAATGAATTAATGAATATTTAAAAGAAATTTCTCTGATAAATGTTGTTAGGTAAAATCACATAAACAAAAGGACTTTTGGAGTCCTCAACAATGTAATAGTGCAGAGGAATCTGGGGACTATGAAGTTTGAGAATTGTTGCTCTAAAATGTGAGCAGCAAATTTCAAACTTTTTTTTTTTTTTTTTTTTTTTTTTTTTTTTGAGGTGAAGTCTTGCTCTGTGCTCAGGCTGGAGTGCAGTGGCAGGAGAAAAAAAAAAAAAAAAAAAAAAAAAGAATTTTCTTACACAGTATCTCATCTTCATGGGACAAGGTCTAGCTTTCAAAGTGCCTCAAAACTAACAGGTGTTGATCCAGCGCAGTAGCTCACGCCTGTAATCCTAGCACTTTGGGAGGACGAGGCAGGTGGATCACCTGAGGTCAGAAGTTCGAGACCAGCCTGGCCAACATGGTGAAACTCCGCCTCTACTAAAAATACAAAAAAATAGCCGGGTGTAGCAGCGTGCACCTGTAATCCCAGCTACTTGGGAGGCTGAGGCAGGAGAAACACTTGAACCCAAGATGCAGAGGTTGTAGTGAGCCAAGATCGTGCCACTGCACTCCAGCCTGGGCAGCAGAGCAAGACTCCGTCTCAAAAAACAAAACAAAACAAAAACAGGTGTTAATGAAGAACTTGTAATTTTTGGAGGTGAGTAGAGAAAGTGAAAGAACAGCACTAAAAGTAACTGTGATGAATGAGTGTTGTGCCTCTACTATCAAGCAATATTGTCCAAGAGGAGCTGTTATATGTAAAAATCCTTGAGTAAAACAGAGACTGGCCAATTCTCTGAAACGCTATTACCAAACCCCTGCCCACTGAATGTTTCTAGTCTATGTGGTATTATTTGGAACCCACTTGGGAAAAGTTGCATTCCATAAATCTGGCAGAGGCAGGAAGAGAAGAGACAGAGTTTGAATTTGCAGAAACTGCTTGTCGGAGTCCAAATGGAAAATCAAATATCAAATTAGTTGTTACAAACCTCTTCACAGACTCAGGGGAAGCAATTTAATAACAACTGGCATAGAGTTGGAGGCATAGGAGAGGAAGCAAATTATCCCAAATTGTTCATCCGCTGCAACACCATTATCTTCCTCTTTGAACTTTGTTATTTTAGCCAATAGTGTCATCATTTTTCCTTTTTTTTTTTTTTTTTGAGACAGAGTCTAGCTATGTCACCAGGTTGGAGTGCAGTGGCACAATCTTGGCTCACTGCAACCTCTGCCTTCCGGGTTCAAGCGATTCTCCTGCCTCGGCCTCCTGAGTAGGTGGGACTACAGGCACGCACCACCACGCCCAGCTAATTTTTATATTTTTAGTAGAGACGGGGTTTCACCATGTTGGCCAGGATGGTCTCAATCTCTTGACCTCGTGATCTGCCTGCCTCAGCCTCCCAAAGTGCTGGGATTACAGGAGTGATTCACTGCGTCTGGCCAGTGTCATTTTCTACCGATGCAGGTTGGAAGCCTCATGCTGTTCCACCTGCCCTGGAAGCTTTCCGTAATGTCACAGCCCCGTCTCACCCATCCTCATGGATCCAGTTCAAGAACCATCTCATCCATGAAGCTCATTAGCCCTTGGAGATCTTGTTCATAACTTTCACATTGTCAATGCCCAGCAGTGTTCTAAAAACAGCAAGTTCTCAAAACTATAGGCATTAGTTACTAAAAACAGGCTGCTGTGTGGGAATCCACACGTAGGCAGCAGATTCTCTTAATTCAGGGACTAGAGAGCCACCTGGTCTTCCTCCCCACACATCACAGCCTAGGGCTGGGTCCCTGGGTTTATATTTTCTAGCACCAGATACTCATCTTCCAACAGAGGAGATACCCAAATGAGTGGAGATCCAAAGCATAGGACTAGAATGAAACAAACCCAGCTCTTCTGTGAGACGCAGGCCTGTGAGAAGATCAGTATTGGTGGCCAACCCCTGATTCCTAAGGGGCGCCCACTGAGTCATCCGGACCAGATCAGCCCCTAGGCCCAGCACTGTTCAGTAACACCAGCATGCCACTGCATTATGCACCATACCTCAGGCCCTGACTGCGAAGCAGGCTGAAACTGTAAGCCTTCTTTTGGGGTCCTCCCAGAAGAGCATGCCTCCCTGGGCACAGAGATACAGATTCCAGGAGCTCCTGTTCCTCTCTTCTCACTGGCATGATCCTCTGAGGCAGAATGTTAAGAACAAAGGAACAGGACAGCCACAACAAGCTAAGGTCTGGGCAGAGAAGAAATCCAACCTTGTTGAGCAAAAGAAATCAAGAACAAGCAAATACCAGAAGGGAACAGCCAGAAGTTTTTCAGTTATGAAGAACAGCAAGGAAAATGGTCCAATAGTCCAGCAAAGAGTAATGAGGAGGGCCATGGTACATAGGGAGGAGTAGTGAAGACTGAAAAATAGGTGAGCAGCCAAAGGTGGTGCCTAACAGTGAGGCAGCACCCTAGTTCTGGTTCAGCTAACTCACATTCCTCTCACCATGGGGTGAACCAATCCTCAGCTACCCTGGGGGGAAGGCTTGTTGAAGATGATGCCTGCAGAAGCTGGCTGGTAGGGTAGTGGACTCTGGGATGGGATACGGACAGGGGCATTTCCCCATCAGCCTCACCCTGGAGATAACTCCATGTTTCAGAACCTGTTACCTTTTTCCTTAAACATGAGCTTTTTTTCCTACTTTCCTTTGAAAGATTGGACTGAAAGTCAAGTTTTCGTGGTTTAGGCTCACCCTTCAAAACACCCGAAATAACTTTTGCAGAAACCTTCCTCATGTTCAAGTTTTCTTTCAAAATGAGCCTAACAGTTTCTTTGTCTAAATTTAACTCTTCGGCCATCATCCTCACGGTTAACTGCCTGTTTGAACAAACCAAGTCCTTGACCTTCTGGATATTGTCATCTGTTCGGTGGGTGACCGGACGCCCACTTCTGGCATCATCTCGAACATCTTCCCGTCCTTCTTTAAACCTTTTGTGCCAGTCAAAAACTCTGGCCCTTGACATGACTTCTTCCCCATAAGCTTCTTTTAAAAGATGGTGGGTCTCACTTGCAGACTTGTTCAATTTCACGCAAAATTTGATACTGATCCTTTGTTCTAAATAGCGGTCACTCATTCTGGCACTGAAAAACACAGGAACGTTAACAGGCCACGACTGTAAGGGAAAAACGGACAGATCAATCTTTATAGGCCTGCAGGTGTAATTATATCGCTGTTCTTGCCCTTCTAGAAGCCTCGCCGGGAAAGAGTAATTGCTTTTATGAATTTTTGTCCCTCAGCTTGCAGTTGAGGCTGGGGAGATCCGTTCTGGGAAGCTAACAGGGCCAACAGTCGCTGCAAAGCTGGGAAAAATTAAATCGCCTACAACCACTGCATCCAACCAGTGCACGCACATCTGCCGAGAGTTTGCCAATCAATCAGTCAACAAGGTTGCTCCGATTCCGCGGCCCTTAAGGAGTATATGGCGAATTCTGCAAGAAAGGCCTAAGTGTTGGCAAATTAAGCAAGCAAGAAGAGATGCATCGGTGATGTAATGTGCAAGTTCGCCCTAGATCTGCAGAAACCCGCGCACGCCAAACCTACCGGAGGAGCCAGGGTATCGCCTGCTCTAGAGTCCCGGGAGACAGGCGCGCATGCGCAATTCTCTCCCCTCCGCGGATTAGACTGTGCGCAGTCGCACTGCGGCAGCGCGCGCCAGGTCCCGCCTCCGCCTTGCCACACCCCGGCAGGCGCGCTTCCTTGCGCGTGCCCGCCTGCGGAGAAGGCGGAAAGGAGGGGCGGGGGAGGAAGGCTGAGGGAAGAGAGGGCACCCCCGGGCGTCAGGGTGCATTGTGGGAAGGAGGCGGCAGCGTCTCGGGCGGGCGGGAGGTGCACCAGCGGCGGCGGCGGCGGTAAATCCTCCCGGCCGCTCACAGCACTGTGGAGCCGCGTCCCCAGCCCGGCCTCGGACCGCGGCACCCCTCCTGGCCCTCGCGGCTTCTCGCCCGCCCGCCCCTCCCCCGCGCGTCGGCCCTGCCGAGCCGGCCGGCCGGCCTGGCTCCCCTCCTCGGCCCCGACGGGCGGGCGGACTGCCCTGAGGAGGCGGGGAGGGGAGGGCTGGGCCGGCCGGCGGGCGGGCGACGATGCCGAACTTCTGCGCTGCCCCCAACTGCACGCGGAAGAGCACGCAGTCCGACTTGGCCTTCTTCAGGTTCCCGCGGGACCCGGCCAGGTAAGCGGCGGGCACGGAGCGGACGGCCCAGGCCCACCTCCGCGGTGAACGCTGCCAGCCGCCGGCCGCGGGCGGGCCCCTGGGCTGGCTGAGAGGGGTGCAGGAGGGGGGCGCAGCGCACTGCCGTCGACCCCAGCGTTGGACCGAGATGGGGAGCCGGCCCCAAGCCGTGGGAAGACGGGCGTCCGGGGACCTCGGAACACGTGCGCTGGTGGGGGCTCTGCGCGCAGGGCACCACCCCAAACACGAGGGAGCTGGGGCGGCGCGCGGACGCGGGATGCTGTGGGTTCTCGCCGTGGCTCACTTGCTGTGTGACCTCGGGCGAGTCGCTTTCCTCTCTGGGCGTTAGTTTCCTTAGCTGTCAAAAGAGAGCAGGACTCTATGGTTGTGGCCATTGGGGCCCTTCCGTCTCCTTGCCACCACCCCCGGGACAGTGTTTCTGTTTTGAGTCTCGCTACCTTCTTTTATCTTGTCACAACTGCTCTCTCCTTCGGACTTGTCATTGCACGGTTCAGGGTTCATTTTATGGCTGTCACCGTTACTCATTTTCTCACTTGGTTGTTGTAGGGATAACAGAGGGTGTACGCGTGAGGGCGTGGGAGTTGGTATTGGAACCTCTTCTTTCGGATAACCCCCACACACTGACTTATATTTAGGGAATGATAGCATAGGGACTGTGTTTGAAAGGCTGACATGGTTCATAGACCTGTCTTGTTGGTTCATTCATTTAAAATCAGTGCCTATGTGCCGAGCGCAAATGTTAGGTGCTGGGAGTTCACAGGTGAATAAGGATGTCACTGCTTGCAGAAAGCTCTCAGTCCGTTAAGGGAACAGGTACAGCAACGGGCGATTATAATGTGTATTATTTATTAATTAGTTCAATTAATTATTGAAGGTCTACTTGTTGTGAGCGGTGGGGGTTACAGATGAACAAATCGAAGTCTTTGCTCTCATGAAGATTATTCTAATGGGGGGGGAATAAACAAGTGAAATACATAGTGTGTCGGATGATGATAAATACTGTGGAGAAAAATAAAGGTTAGAGGGTAGGGGAATAAGTAGTATCAAGGGATGCACAATTGCTATTTTTAATACAGTGATTAGAGAAGGCCTCACTATGAAGGTGAATTTGAGCAAAGACTAGGTGAAGGGGCCAGCTATGGAGATAACTTGGGCAGCAGCATTCCAAAGAAGGCAAAGACAGGGCAGCCAGGAGTCCAGGGAGAGGGACTGAGAGAGAAGTGAGATGAGACCAGAAAGGTGTGTGTATGGTAGGGGCAAATTCTTTAGGTAGGACCTTGTAGGTCTTGGAAGGCACTATGGTTTTTATTCTGAGTGAAATAGGAAGTCATTGAAGGGTTTAGAGCAGAGACTTAAATTTTAACAGGATCAGTGGCTGCTCGTTAGATTGTGGGGTGAAAGGTGAAAGCCGGAAGACCAGTTAAAAGGCTGTTGGAATAATCCAGATTAGTAGAGGAGGAGGTGGTAAATTTGAGATATGGTTTGAAGGTGAAGCCCACAGGATTTGCTAATGGTTTGGAGGTAGATTGTAAAAGAAAAAGAGAACTCAAGGCGACTTCAAGATTTTAAAAACCTATGTAGATCAGGTTGGTCTTGAACTCCTGGCTTCAAGCAATCCTCCTGTCTCAGTCTCCCAAAGTGCTAGAACAGGCTCTGAGCCACCACACCCAGCCGACTTCAAGATTTTTAACGCGACCATTTGCTGAGATAGGGAACACTGGGAAGAGCAGGTTTGGTAGGGGAATACTAAAAGTTTGGGTTTGAGAGGCCTGATAGACATTCAAGAATAGATGTCTAGGCCGGGCACAGTGGCTCACACCTGTAATCCCAGCACTTTGGGAGGCCGAAGCAGGCAGATCACTTGAGGTCAGGAGTTCGAGACCAGCATGGCCAACATAGCGAAATCCTGTCTCTATTAAAAAATAGAAAAATTTGCTAAGCATGGTGATACATGCCTGTCCAGCTAGCTACTCAGGAGGCTAAGACATGGGAATTGCTTGAACCCGGGAGGCAGAGGTTGCAATGAGCCGAGATCGTGCCACTGCGCTCCAGTCTGGGTGACAGAGCAAGATCCGTCTCAAGAAAAAAAGAATAGACGTCTTTCTTCATACCATATACAGAAATGAACTCCAAGTGGCCTATACTTTTATTTAGATCAAAGGCCTGAACATAAGAGCTGTATCATTAAACTTTTAGGAAAAAAATACAGCTAAATCTTCATGACTTTAGATTTGGCAGCACATTCTTGTTTGTTTTTTGTTTTTTTGAGACAGAGTCTCACTCTGTTGCCCAGGCTGGAGTGCAGTGGCACGGTCTCAGCTCACTGAAACCTCCGCCAGCGGCGTTCAAGCAATTCTACTCAGTCAGCCTCCCAAGTAGCTGGAATTACAGGTGCCCACCACCATGCCTGGCTAATTTTTAAATTTTTTTTAGTAGAGACGGAGTTTCGCCATGTTGGCCAGGCTGGTCTCCAACTCCTGACCTCAGGTGATCTGCCCACCTTGGCCTCCCAAAGTGCTGGGATTACAGGCGTGAGCCACCGTGCCTGGCTGGCACCACAATCTTAGATATGACACCAAAATACATGCAGTAAAAAGAAAAATAGACTAATTGGACTTCATCAAATTGAAACTTTTGTGTATCAAAGGACGTTACCAACAAAGTGAAAAGAATGGAAGAAGGTACTTGCAAATTATTTTGGGGTCTAGTATACAGAATATATAATGAACTCTTTCAATTCAGCAACAAAAAGACAACCCAATTTTAAAATAAGCAAAGGACTTCTTTCTTTAAACAAAAGATACAGATGGCCAAAAAGCACATGAAAAGATGCTGAACATCACTCATTATTAGAGAAGTTCAAATCAAAACCACAAGTGGCAGTTAGACGTAGAATTACCGTGTGTCCCAGCAATTCCATTCCTAGGCGTACATCCAAAAGAATTGCAAACTGATATTCAAAAAAACCAAATGTACACACATTCATAGCAGCACTATTCGCAATAATCAAAAGGTAGAAACAAGCCATGTTTATCAGTGCATGAATGGATAAACAAAATGTATATCAATACAATGAAATATTAGCCCTGAAAAGGAATGAAGTGCCAGTACATGCTACGGTATGGGTGAACCTCAGAAACATTATGCTAAGTGAAAGAAGCCACATACAAAAGCTTATATGTTGTATGATTCTATTATATGAAATATCCAGAATAAGTAAATCCAGAGAGACAGAAAGCGTATCAGTGGTTGCCTGGGGCTGGGGGAAAGGGTGTGGTTTTGATTTGAACTTCTCTAATAATGAGCGATGTTCAGCATCTTTTCATGTGCTTTTTAGCCATTCGTATCTTTTATGTAAAGAAAGAAGTCCTTTGCCTATTTTAAATTTGGGTTGTCTTTTTGTTGCTGAATTGTAAGAGTATTTTATATATTCTGGATACTAGACATACAGGGTTTCCTTTTGAGGTGATGAAAATGTTTTAGAATTAGGTGGTGGTGATGGTTGCAGAACATGATGAATGTATTAATTGCCATACAGTTTTTTACTTTAAAATGGTTAATTTTATGTTATGAGAATTTCACCTCAAAGAAAATAGATGTCTTGAAGAGACAGTAGGATATACAAGTCTGAAATTCAGAGACTTTCAGACTGGAAATTGTAAATATGGGTGTTCTCAGTTGATAGAGGGTATTTAAAGCCATGGTACGGGTTAAGGTTATCTAAGGAGTGAGCAAAGAGTGGATCTGAGGATTGAGTTGTGGGGGCATTCCCAGTGTTTTAAGTTCTGAGACATGGGAAAGAACTCACTCAGTAGAGTGAGGAGTAGCTGTTGGGTTCCATGGGAACAGAGGAGAGGAGCATCTTAGTCTGACTTGGCCTTGCCCCATTATGCATTATCTTCCTTTTTCCCAAATTTTAGTCCAAAGACATTCTTACAGATTTATTTCACTTCCATAATGAGGGCACCCCTAGTCAGTTCGGGACCACAGGTCATTTGTGTTAATATGTTGTGAATCCTGTTTTTACTATACTCCTTAAGGGAAATATGGTCTATAGGGGGTTACAGTTTCAGATTTGAAAGAAGTTTTTAGATCTAGTGAAATCTCACTTGAAATACTGGAATTTTCTCAATAATAGTGACTTTTAGTCATTTTTAGGGTTATTATCCTTTTGAGAATCTAACATAAGGACTCTTACCTGAAAAAAACAAAAACAAACATAGACACAATTTAGCATTCAAAGACAAAGGTGTTTATGGACCTTTATAGGCCCTGTGCGTTCCTGACAGATGGGCATCTCTGCCCTGGCTAAAACACCTCTAATGACAGTCCTCCCTTTTGTGAGAAGACACCTGATGATCCTGGACAACTTTGGCTGTTGTTTCTTCCCTGTATTGAGTGGACATCTGCCTCCTGTAATTGAGGCCTTGGAGGTCCTAGGGTTTTTTTTGGGTTTTTTTGTTTTTTTTTTTTTTGAGACGGAGTCTTGCTCAGTCGCCCAGGCTGGAGTGCGGTGGCGCGATCTCGGCTC